CTGCCATTGGTGAAAGTAGAAGACCCGATCTTAACCCTGTTAACGTACCGAAACATTGATTGTCATCGACATGCATATCGGAATATTCCCGTGATGTTATTGTATTGTGTTGTGAACTGTATTTAAATGCAATACCTAATCGAGATAAATGAATGTTAATAATATCATTTTCTGCTAACATGTATACATAGGATTCACTGTCCAGACGTATAAAATATTTTGTAAATAAATTTTTGAAAAATGACGATGATCGATTAATTAAATATTGTCTATTTTCAGTATTGTTTGTCCTAATAAATCCTTTCTTAATTGCTAATATGTAATGAATGTCATGTAAAAAATTTTCATGTTGAAAATGAACTGGTCGAAATTCTACTATTTTGGTCTTATCATTCCACCAGTGACTGTAATTTGAGACAAAGATTTCAGCTAGTTCGTCTTCAAAACATTTGGCAGGAATCAATTCAAATATGTCATTCGTTTGTGCGTGACGCTCGTAGATTCGCAAACAATAGTTTCGATAATTAAATTCATAATGAACTTTTCCATCGTGATGGTAGCCATGTTTTGTGATATAAGTATCGTCTTGTTCGGCTCTTTGCACTTCAAAAATATGATGACCAAATACACGTTGAAATAACTCGTCAGAAGTGATATTATTCGGTAAAAATCCAACACTATGATCATTAACTACAAATTTTCCATTGAAACAATCAATTGATACTTTATTGGATTCATATTGACCATCGTACCAACCATCATATATATTCTCGCTTCGTTTCTTCCACTTGCCATCTGCTTTACCCTTAGTTCGGATAACTGCCCAATATATAGACGCAAATTCATTTAAAAGTTCATATGAATTTTTCTTGAGAAGCTTGTTAACCATGGGATGTATACTCACCAACACGCGTTCACTTTGACGCATCATATTTCTCATAAATACGCTCATATTCTGTTGTTTATTACCTAAAATAAGATTATCATGAACAGTTGTGACCATGTTGAGTAACGACATTACATCGCCGTTGGATAAATCTAATGAATGACTAGCGTCTGTATATACAGAGAATGTGAGCAAACATGCAATGCCAATAATTCCAATTTTATCGCGTAATGCATCAGTTTTATTCGAATCTGATGATGATGGATTATGAATGCTTTTTAAGATAAGTTGAATCCATCTTTCACCTGTATTGCGGCATTTTAAAACGAGATCAGTCGTGCGTTGTTTTCTCGTTGAATTGCAAATGGTAAATATTCGGATGGCAACCACTGTCAGGATAATTAAAACCAATTCGTTTTGCCAATTGGATTCAAAATCTTTCAAATGGCGCTCTAATCTCACAATTAATTCATCAACAAAATGATTTTCTAACAGTTGCTGATGTGATTCTGGACACCATGAGTACATGAGTGCTTTTCCGTCGGCGGCGAAGGGCCCATTTTGCAAGAGTGCGTGTGTAATAAGAACTGCAACACTTTCTTCGTCCATCGATAAGGAATCTGTCTCCAGAGCGCTTAAAAGATTCCACCATTGTAAACGATGGCCAGACCGAAATGAACCAAACTCTAAGAATTCAATTGGTTTTAGTTGTAACGTACATTTTGATAAATTAGAAATGGTTTTATTTTGTACGAATTGAGTACTTTCGATAGAAAATTGTAAAGACTTATAATTGGGATCTGATAATTCAGGTGTTAAAGTTTGACATTCATCCTGGAGTGTTGCTGGTTTTGTAGGGGTGATTTGCACTTGTAAACTATTTTCGAAGAAAAATTCTTCTAGCGATGCCGATGCGATTGAACGTGGAGCTGAATAGTGTGTCTCCGACAATGACCTTCTCGCAGATAGCAATTGTACTTTACAATCATGAAGATCCTTACAGAACTCTTTTAGTTTACTACCATGAGGTCTAGAGCTTAACCATTCATGCATTTTGTGTGATCGTTTTGGATTAGGACGATTCGCAAATAACCAAAGGATATCTCGATAACATCTGATTTCATTCGGCATTTGTAATTCGAAAATTACAGCTAATGCACTTTCTCGTTCAGATGGCATTGGACATTCATAAATATCAACTTTAATATTATTCGCTGCTCTTTCAAAGTTGCATCGATCACATTTTTTATAATAAAATTTGACATCACTTTCGCATTCACATTTGAGACCAATGACCTTTTTCATCAATTCTTCGTATTTCTCTTTCGCTTTATTCACTTCTTCGGTTTTGTCCTTTTTATCTTGTTCGATTTGCTCTTGAATTTTTTCGAGAGTCTCATTCATTTCCGATGATTGCTCAGCAAACTGAACACCGAAAGAATTCCTGGATTCGATATTACTTAATAGATCTGGGTATGATTTTTTACTGAATTCTTGAAAGTAATCATACAACGCTCGAGCATGAAACATATCATTTCGATTTGGTAAGACTAAAAATTCGAATAACTCCAGTAGATTTGGAATTCTAATAGCATGTAACTTCAATCTTTGGAATCTTCCATCTTTGCATAAATTTTTATGAATTAAACGAATTATTGTCAACGATGCTAAAATAAATCGACTGTAGCCTATCGGGTCACTTGATTTGTTTTCTGAATAATACCATTTTAACGCAGCATTCTGATAGTCTTCATAAAATTTTTGTAATTTTTCAAATGTTTGATTTCCTTTACCCGATTGTAATGAGGAATCTATCCAGGCTGCTAAATTGTATTGTATCCATATTTCAGCACGTGTTAATGCTATTCCCATAGTGTCGTCAATAAGATTCGTTAACAAGAATCTTGGTAAATCATCGTCTCTATCAGCAACTCTATTAGATTCCAAATATCTATAACCAAATCTATCAAAATAGTATCTGCTGGATTCATCAGAACGCCGTTGATTAATATACTCTTTTAATTTTCGGCATGGGTGCTGATAAGTTTCCTGCTGATATGGATGCAAGTGAAGTTTAGCATGCTTTTGTTTTTTCTGCTGCTCGATAGACTTTTGCCATTTAGGACTCGGAGTGATAACATCGACTTTTTGTTTTATTTCCTCTTTTACATTCTGTATCCATTGGTTTATATCATTCGAATCGACTGGTGACAACAATTGTTCAATTTTATTTAATCTTCGTACAATTTTTCGAAGGCAATGCATTAGTATATCATTAGATATTAGATAATTATTTGATAATTTCTCCGATATGCAATAAGTCAAAAAATGTGCAATTAGTAATTTGTATACAATGGTGCCGACGTTTGCTAAACGTCGTACCAGAATAGTATGTAGAACAACTTTGATAGTCATCCATAAACCTGATCGTCGAAACGGAAGCATCGATCTTGTATATCGAATTTGGTCACGATGTTTTTTCTTAAATGCAATAGACGGATTGGTTTGGTTATGCACTTGAGCATCTTGGAATTGTGTAATCCACCATTGGCAAACATAGTGTGATATAGGAACATCACGGACTTCATCGAATCTGCATGATGCCTTTTGAACTTTGGCATGCTCAATCGTATTGTTCATAAAATCGATTAATAATTCACAATGAACACTGGATAACAGTTGTGATCGATTAGGCAATTGAAACACCGGCACCGGAAAATCAGAAAAATGTGGTTCTAACGATGGTGTGATAACATCTGGTGGTAATGAAACTTGCCAAGATGAAATCAATGGTTGATCGATATGATTTTCATCGATTTGAATCAAAATTGCAGCATTCTGAGCGTGGAAATACAACGGAAGAAAATCACCTGGCACTAACTTCTGAATGATTGATTGTAAATTTCTTACAGAACAGTTTTCTTTATTCTGTATAACTGTCCAATATTGAAAGCATTTTTTAAGCACTCGAAAAACTGACAGTTCATTTTTGACATCTAACGATTTCAAATACTCATTCACATATTCAAGTAGTTTATATTCATGTCGATGACCGGAGTCAATTAAATAATCAGTATCCGATGATGACGGCAAATTGTGAGGAAGAAATAAATGATTTAAAATCGATCCACTCAAGTTTTGCGAAATCGATTCCGTGGGGTTGCTATACCAAGATGAGGTGTAATTATTCTTCACAAACATTTATATAATCGAAGTATTAAATGAGAGGTTAACTCGTAAGATGATAATGAAATCTTTTGTTTGTTTTTGACCCTACATGTCAACAAAAATATCATTCAGTCATCGATAGAAGACCAGCACTTTCAATTCTTAAAAAATGCCTTTATGCCTTGTAGCTAGCTACCATATCCAGAAATAAAACTAATGAATTAAAAAGATTCCTTTTGATCTACGATACAAATCGCAAAGCACTTCCTCACGTAAAAAATAATGAAAAATCAGATTAAAGTCAATTATAAGTCAATTTCATACTTTTCGAAAGAAACTTATCTTTTTTTTCTATTATTTATCCATTATTGTCTATGTATATAAAAATGATTTTTTCTGAAATTGTTGTAACTTACCTTGCTAATATTGATTTGATTTATGAATTCTGACTCAGTTTCGAAAAACATCATTTTCCATGTCATTCTGTTCGTATTTATATTTGAAAATTCGACTGGGAAAAAACCCAGTGTATCGAAAAATAAACATAGCTAACTACTGAATCATCATTGCTGATAAAATATGTCACTAAACCAGAAATGAAATCGTATGCTTCAATGTTATCATCATAGTAGTTACTTGAGCCGAACTATTTAAAATTTTCACTGTACGTAAACCATAGTTATTCATAAAACAACAGATTACGTTCTCTCATTGGTGAACTTTATTGAAACGAAGCCAGTTTATACCTAAATTGCTCGGGAATGCATATTTTTTGCATTTGTTGTACATGGAAAATACTTCAAAAATTCACCCAATGTTCTCAACTGCGTAAATGGTAGTCCGACGATGCATGTAGTATAGGTGTGGGTATGGCTGTCTTCTATTCACTCACACCCACACCCACACCCTCAAGAACAAGTATATACCACCATATCTTCTAATTATAATGTTGACTGAAACAAATCAATTAGACATCATCGATCTATCAGCTTCTAAATTTAATGAAAGTTTTTTCGACACGATCGGCCGTATTCAAGCAGCAGTAAAAATTACGCGTTTAAATATTATTGCCGGTGAAATGTTCATGGGAACATTAATTGAAATTATCGAATGTATACCTGCTATTGATTCATTAGTTATTTCATCTTTAGAAATGGTACCAGTAAGATGTTTATCTACTGAAGGAGCCAGAACTCTTCGTTTATTATCAGTAAAGAACGTAATTACTAAAGTCAGACTTCATCAAATGAACGACTTGGTACCAGTTAAGTTTCTTCTTCATCTTTGCCGTCGTATGAAATATCTCGATGTGGACTAGGGTGTGGGTGTGCGTGTGGGTGTGGGTGTGCATATTAATGATGGAACTTCAATTTCTTCACATCCCCACACCCAGTTTTATAAGTCATATGCAGATGCGAAAAGCTTTGAAATAATTTTTCTAAGTTTTGATCGTGATCAAAGTGCATTTGATGAATATTATGGAGAAATGCCTTGGTTGGCATTAGATTTCAGTGAACGTGATAAAAAGAAGGAGTTATCAAACAAATTTAATGTTGATGGAATTCCAACATTAATTCTATTGAATGGAGACTCAGGAGATATTATTTGTCAAGATGCAAGAGATCGAATTGAAGACAATGATCCGACAGGAGAAAACTTCCCATGGGCATCATAAAACTTTTATTTTTTAGAACTCTTTTCATTATCATTCAAATATAAGATCTTCTTTTGAGTTTTGCATTTTATATATTCTTGTCTCACATTATGCTTTCAAATATATTCAAACATAACGAAAAAATCACTAAATCATTGACTTCATGATAAATATCTAACTTAATCTGTTATTTTTATGCTTTTATTCAGTCGATTGATAAAAAAATTTTAAATTGTGAAGAATGAGACATGTAAAAAATCATATTGATTTCTTACTAATCGAATGACAAAAAAACGTTATATTCTAATAGAAAAAAAAGTCATTTGTGGAACTATGTTTTTTGAATCAGCTTTTACTGTATGAATCAAATTTAATTCAAATTTCAAATGGTTAATCGGCAAATGTGGTGGAGAAATGAGTCAGTCAAAATAAAATCCTCGTTAGGAAACATCTAAAATGATTCAAAAAACATTGTTCCGTGTGAGTCTAGGCCTCGGTGGAATGGGAAAGGCTCCGTATGTCAGTAACCGAAGTCAGACCTACACTCACACCCTTCAACAGTGTTTAGTGCTAAGAAAAAATACAATATAATTCGGTGGACAGTTAACCGCAAAAAACAAAAAGTATTCAGAAAACTTTTCATTTTATCTGCCCTTTAAAGAGATATTTTTGCCGATCATGAAAAGCCTACAAAAATTGTTAGAGCAAATCCCTATTGGCTTGTTCTGATCGTTCCTTCCATGCTCGAAATGCAAAACACAAAAACATCACATTGATGTTTCCCATAATATTCAGCACGATCAAAATATTTGTATTTTGCATGTATTGCGATTTAAGAATATATTATGACCTTGATAGTTTTTTCAAAAAACGTACCGTTGAAAGCTCTACAAAATCTGTAAAAGTTGCGTAAACTAATTCTTATTGCAAGAAAAGTGGCACCAGACTTTTGACTTCCACTGTAATAATTCTTTTTCGTTTTCTTTAAATTTATGTTCATCTGCTTTTTACAAACGCGCTTCAATTTTTTTATTAAAAATGAGAAAAACAGCAATAAAAAACTTCTTGAGTATACTGTGAAATCTGGAGTGTGGGTCTGGGTAAAGAAGAGACTCACCCACGCTATAAGATGCAGCGTGAAAAGCTCTACAAGCTGCATTAAAAACTTTATATTATACATGCACCTTTTATTTTCTAAATGGTTAAAAGTTTGTGCAACCAGTTTTCGACTCTGCGAAAAAGACCATGCATTTTTTGGTTGCACAGAATTTTGATCATTTTGGAAAAAAAAGTACACATATGCAATATGGTTTCTAATGTAGCCTGTCGAGCTTTTCACGCTGCATCTTATGGTGTACTTTGTTTTTAAAATACACTTACTTGGTAATTAAAAAGGGTATGCAAATACCAAGCATGCATGAGGCACTCGCTTGCATTGAAAGTTGAGCACTTTTTATCTTTTGAATAATATTCATTTCGTTTTTCTCTTAACTTTCTACCGAAATACATTTAGTAATGTTTTTTTAGAGAATTTCACGCCGCATCTTTTGGCAAAACAAGCAGTTATAAAGCTTAAAAAGAAAAAAATGTTATAGTCAAAATACTGACACCGCGATTTATTCTGCGGCACCCGTTATTTAAAAAAAACATCGATTCATTGATTATTAGACAAACTGCAATATCGATTGAATGTCTTCGGATATGGGGCATCATTATTCATTTTTTTGATGAATATCATTACTACTATACAGTTTTAACACCTTTATTCGTGGACAATTGACCATGAATTTATCAGTAAATGCCTTGCAAATTATCACTTGACCAACATATAATTCAAGTTGTTCTAATAACGGATGGTTTTTTGCAAAATCTACCAGTACATCTTCACTGAATTGAACTGATGGTTTATTTTGAACACCGTGAAAATCCACTTCATGGAAAGGAATGCCACCATCAGTGATTTTAATTGAGACAAAATTATGATTTTGATTCATCATTTCTAAGGACCGATTACTCAAATCTAAATGTCCATGCAAATCAAGAGAGGTCAACTTTTGTAGCTTAGTACAAATTTCATTGATGACTTTATCATTAATTAAGAGTCTACTCAATTCATAGCGCTCATATTTCATACCAGAACATGTCCAGACACGAATTTTCAGATGAGTTAATTGTTCATATTGGACACACACTTCGATCAATTTTTCATAGGAGTCTGTCCATGCGTACAGTGAAAGCTTTGTCAGGCTCGGAAATAGGATGAACAATTGCTTCACATAATCTTGTTCAAACATATTGGTGCGAAGCGAAAGAAAGTCAACTTTAGGAAAGACCTTGAGCTTTGAATAATCAATTTCAACTTTAGGACTATTAATTGGATACTCCGACAACCAGTTAATCGACGCACCGGAATATTGCAACAGATTACACCATAGTGTCGCATTGTGCCCGCATGTATGACAATAACTTTGGGAGGAAGCTGATATATCGAGTGACAAATGATGGAGCAGTTGATAGGCCCTATCGTTGAATTTATGGAAAACGGGTACCGGAAAATTGATTATCAAGTCGGTTATGAACGGCAAATTCGTCAACTCGTAAACTAGGTCTACTCTTCCCACATCATATGGATCCCATCTTTGAGGATTTTCACCTCGATCATGATCAGCATTCGGAGAATAGTCTAGAATTACTTTCTCTAATGTTTTACTTTGCAATTGAATAAATTTTTGAGCCATTTCGAACACATAACGATCACGTTTCAGAAGAAGACAAATACCAGTTAAATTTGGAACAAAACGAAATGTTAAACTACGACTTGACACTTCATTGTCTTTCGCGATATCGAATGAAAGCAGCGTACAATTGGTAATGATTGCATTCCAATGCCAACAAACATTAGCACACGAGGTTAACTCTGAATAGGAGAAAAGTTTAAAGATTTTATCTAATATTTCAGGCGGTATGTGATTAATTGACAACATTTCTCACAACTAAAGTTGTTCTTTAAAACATTTTACTACTTTACTCATTTACATGAATCATTATCGATCCTGTGTTTCATTTCTTCCTTCAATTTCTTTTTACGTGTCTTACTTTTCTTCGCCGGCTGGAATGTTGAGAAAGAAACCAATACTTCAACACGTGCTACGTCGAAACAAACATGTTGTGAAGCAACCATCCATGTTGCCTCTTTTTAAGTTATGAGACAATAATTATTTGCGTTCTGAAGAAGGGTATATCATATCTCTCTTAAGACGCTTTTTTATTCACTAATATTTTCAATTAAGAAGACATGTACTGTCAACTATCAAAATTTTCGATTAGTGATATTTTCAAATTTCTTTTCCGATATTTTTATATGATACGCACAGTCTCTCTTTCATGATCATAATTTTGTATCCGAAGATCAAGGAGATTAATGTATAGCAAAACCTATTAGTGTATGATCAGTCAGTTATACAATCAAAGCATTTGTTGCCCTAGGGAATGTACTGGGTTCAGGGTACCCACATACTAAGAAAGTCACACCAGGGTACCTATTAAGGGTACTTAGAAAATTCTCAGTAACCAGACTGTTGTAGGTACTGCATTGGGAACCCATAGCAGTATGTTTCGCTGAAGCAGTACTTGTATGAGTACCCGCACCTGTAATTTTACTGAGGAAAGCTCTACAGGGTACCCTAGATTTATCGCGTTCTGTGTGGCGTCTGTTCATTCACCATTTTCTTTTGCGTAAACAGCTCCTTATAAACAACTCGGTGAACCATCAGAAAATAAATTTTTTTCATATTTTTTTTCTAGATTATTTCTTGGCTATTTATTAGTGGAGAATATGCCGATCTTAATCGTAAATTAAGATCGGACTACCCTGAAGTGGTCGGATGGAGATTTGACCAACTCAAGCCCGGTCAGATCCCGAAATTTGACCTGCTAGAGTTTTCAGGATTGGAAAAATTAAATTAAATAATATCGAATAAAATTTAATAAATTGTTTTGAGAGAAAAAAAATGAAAAAATTCGAAGATTAGGTTCAACCATCAACTTACTGCAATTTTGGTAACAGGGTACCTACGCATACTGTGCAATAGTATCCAGTTGAGTACTTGATCAGTACCTTCAAGTACTCATTTACTAGTTGTTTTCCAGCAGGGTACCTACCTGAGTACCTAAAAGTACTTTTAAGTACTCCAGTACCATAAAGTTCCTAAGACATACTAGTAGCAGGGTACTTTTTCGGGTACCCTTTGTTCAGTACATGCCCTAGGAGAATAGCGTGCGCATGTCTGTATGTCTGTAAAACCACTAATTTGATTAAGAATCAATAATGGATACACAATGAACAAAGTGATAGCGAATATGTGCGATGCAATAGAATTTTTCTATTAATTTTATCGTAATAAAGTATATGTACGGTGATAGTTCATACTGAAAATTCTGTTTTTTTTAAAGCCGATGAAAGTGTTTTTAAAAGGATGATTCGAGCCACACAGTCGAGTCAACACCTACTAATTTTTCGACTCCTAGTCAAGTCAGAGGCATTAAAAAATGCGACTCGGACTCCCCCATCTCTGGCGACAATCTCAACGTTCGCCAAAAAAAAAAGAATTAATAGAATGTCATTTACAATAGTTTTATTCAAATACTATCTTCCCTGTATATATATATATATATATGTAAATATGGTGCTTTTATTTATTTTATGTCATCGGTGTTATATACTCGATTATTTTTTTATATATGATCCACTTCCCATTCTTTCACAATACATTTTGTTCACATCTTACACAATCGATGCAGATAATGTTCGTGGCTTCATCATATTTCATTTTATATAAAAGCTCATGTAATTTTGAAATATCAAATAATACTTAAATCATTTAATAAAAAATACCTAGGCGTTTAGCACTTTGAAAATATTCTTTGGAGTGAAAACTAATAACATCAGATATATGTATATGTTTAAATTATATTATTTAATGAAAGAGGAATTTATTGAATGAGATAATTGATGAAAATCTTATATTATACTTGGCCATTTATATGCATTACTATTCTTTGTAACGATTTTACTAATTCCAAAACGAATTGTTTTACGTGCGGCATCTATATTAATAAAAGCGCTAGTAGTTTGAATTGTTGAAAAAAGAATTATTTCGATAAGATCAAAAAAATTGCTAGTTGAGTTTGTTATCATACCTATACGAGGATTATAAATAAATATACTATTTATGAGTAAATTCTCTGATATTATTCTCATAATGATGCATCGTGATAATATAGACTAAAAAAATATATGGGCGCTGTTATTACGGTCAAAAAAATAATTGAGTGTTGTTACTAGGGTCACTTTTTGTTTCATCAATTCTGGACGTCTTCTCTTCAAGTTTTGTATCTCAATAAATCAAAATTTCTTTCTTATGAACCTTTGGTCAATAAGATAGTTCGACACGCTCTACAAAATTACTACAGACATCTTTCCTGTATCTCTTACAAGAAATGTGAAAAAGATAAATTTGCTTGAATTTTGTTAGAGTGTTGTTATTAGGGTCAAAAATGAGCTGACTGTTGTTATTAGGGAAATGAACCCTAACAACAACAGATGCAGGTCCTTTTCGTAGACCGCTGATATCTCCGCCATTATACATCAGTTCAAGGTGATTGTTTCACCATTCGAAAGAGGACACTCCAAGGATTATGCAAATGCAAAAATAATTTCAATCAAATATAAAATCGCTGTACTCCGAGTCAATCAAGTCATATCATTTTTTTAGTGTTGTTATTAGGGTAACTTACTCTATTGGTTTTAAACAACCAATCATTCCTATAACACTCATCATTCACTACCTTCGAGCGATCATTTCTGGAAATTAAGCTCAACAAAACAAATTAATTCAACTGCACTCTGGATTTATCTTCATTAAAATTCGAACAGGAACAATAAAAACTCCCCGAATAATCTTTTACGTTTAGCTCCCTCCATAATTCATCATCGGACGTTGATTCGATGACCAAATTGACTTATCCTGTTCGTTTATCTATATAATATAATATAGCATAACATAATATAACAAATGTTAGTGTTAGATATCTGAAAAAAAACGAAATATCAAAAGTACCTGTAGATTGAGCTAGGAACTTTTTTATTTTTATTTTAGCTTAATTTAATCGAAATCAACAATGATGATTCATCATTGAGAATTCTTTTGGTATTTTCAGATTTCTATTTTTGTATCTTCTTGTACATCTTTTTGTACTGTAATTAGCTTTTGTTATATAAATATAATTTACCGATTAATTTGATATTGTAATAGAAAAACATGACTACAGGAATAGCATAAGTATAAATTTTCGTTTTTGTTATTCTGCATATAAGATCATATATAGCTCATTAACAACTGGTCTTAAAAATACTCAAAGTGGAAAAAATTTGAATGATCGATTTTGTTTATCGAGTAATGATGACAAAACTTGAAGAAATATTTTCATGGGTTTTTGCAAGTTTCTATCAACATAGATCAAGAAAAACAATAACAAATTATTTTATTTAATCCTTTTTATTTATTGTACGCGTGTACTAGTCAAGTTTAAATCGAGAAGTGTTTCTTAAACTTTTTCATGTAAACATCTGGCAATGTTTACCATTTATCTATTTCTTATTTGTTTTTAATTTGATGTTTTTCAAGAAGATCATATTTTGCATTACAAGAGGCAAACAATAAAAAACGTACCTTTGTTTTTCAAGAATCAGTTTTCATCATGATACTTTATTGTGTAAATCAAAATATCAACAGATACTGTGTGAATAGAAATAGACTACCTAATTGCACTTTGCTTTTAGATTTCTATTTAAAAACACTATAATATTATTCCTAATCGAAAGAATAATATGATATCAAATATATTGATAAATAATTATTTGAGATTTGTACTACTTGCTGGAAGACGTTTAGCAAGTACTCAATCTAATGTTAACATAGGTGATCAAATGAAAATTCTAAACGATAATAAACAGTATAAAAAAGCTCTTGAATTATTTGATGAATTCAACGAAAAAACCATAGATAAATGTTCCAATTGGATTATTATTCAAGCTTTAAAAGCATGTACTCAAATATGTGATGTTCAACGTGGTTTGAAGATTCATAATCTTATTTCATCTCGTTTAAAACATGATCCTTATGTATTACCATCATGAATTCATTTCTATAGTAAGTGTTTATTGAAAAAACGAAGAAATAATCGATTCGCTAGTTTTCATATCATAAAACCGTGAATCAATTGGCACTAGCGTATTTCTCGAGAAATGGTTCTGGGATCTTGTTTCATCTCAAAATCATTTCTCAAGTTATATTTGAACTAATCTATGGTTTCTTTCAATTAAAAGAAATAGATATAAAATTGTTTGACACTTTACCTAACAATACACTTACGATGCGTGATTTTTCAAAATTGTACATTTTAATCAAACATTTTCTCGCCGTATCTTCATAGACAAGGTTCTACACAGTTCAAAATTTATAGTATATAAATAATTTTATCTGATAATCATCATAGTAATACCTTTACCAGGAAGAAGAAAAACATGAGTAAGATATTTCAAGAATAGTTTATAAATCGATTTTTTCAATGTGAAAGAGTGTAGCAACGCAGCTTCAGAATAAGAAAATTTAGACTTTCAAATATAAACTAAGATTATTCTTTGGTTCATTATAAAAGTCACTGACATTACTGCGAGATAATGTACTAATTTCTTACATCTCACGTAAAATTGACAGTACCTCATTTGCTGACACCCACACTCCTGTTATCTGTAGCAGCTGATATGATAGAGTCAGCCTTTTCTGTCGATCTGTGCAGGTAATATGGGTGATAGCTGGTATAATTATAAAAAACAAAAGGTTAAGTTAAGATTAGTACCTAACTATCAAGTAATCGTAATGCCACTAATATTTGTGCATTAGGATTAATCGATAATAATAATACAGAAGCATCCGCAGCTCGTCAGGAACAATCCTAACACGGTATTCCTATTTTAATTTCTGATTAATACTTTGAGTGTACATATTTTTGAAATCATATTTGACAGTTTTAACTTATTTCAAAATGTCAAAATTAGTGCGTCACAGAATGCTGCAGCTTCATTTAATTGTAGTTTCCACAAATGATAAACAGCCTTATTCAAATTTCTGATTTTCAAACGATGCGTCATTTGAACTTGCACGAAATTCATTTTTATTTCTGCACTATTGTTCTTTTTACTGTTAATGAATATATGGAAAATGCAGAAGACCTAAGGCATATAGGATGTCATGAAGGTAATATTATATGATATGTTGTAAGAATTTTCATGTATCGCATACGTTACCGCAACTATGATGACAGTATTCGAAAAGCTCTATTTTCGAAACCATTCTCGTTGACATCAATTCCGAAAAAACTGACCAATCTTTAAATAGAGAATACTAACACTATGCTTCATGGGAATGTCGAGATGCACGTAGCTACGGCATCTGCGAATTTTCATTTGTTGATCTTATGGCGTTATATGGCAGGTTGTTCAGGCTTCAATATTAAATTCAGCTGTAAATTATTTCGAACATGTTGTAATTCAAGCCTTTAGGCTTGATCGAGTGCTGTAAAGTCATGCTTTTCAGAGGCACGGCTATAATGAATAGGTTGCTGAATGTAATATGAGCAGCATATTTTGAAATTTCCGATATGCGGATGATTCTATAAATTTTCTTCCGTAAAATAATTTTTGGTCATGAACAAGATAATAATTAAATATATAGAATGCATGAATGAACCCAGTATGGATGAATTCAAAACTAAGTGAACTTCACACGTAGAGAATAATAAAAATCCGCGTGTAAATAAATATATGAAGCGTCTTAACACTGCCATAGGTCCTTATTGCTTTTTCCGATATTGGTGTTATTCCTAATTTAACAGTTGAAAAGAAAAACTTTTCTTACTAGCAATCAAATTAGGCTGTTTTCAAATATAACAACCCTCCTTTTGCTGACTTTGAATGGGAACTTATTTTTTAAACGTGATTGAGATTTGCACTAGGCAACAGGTAACTTTAGATTTCAGCTATAAAAACTTGTATATTCTCACTCTCTACTACTTTTCACTTATATCCTATAGCTCCCCTAAAAAAAACTAATACTATTGAAGAAATCGAAATGACTTCTCAAAAAGCTCAAAAAAGGCTTCTAATAATAATGTTTCGTTAATGTTTAATTACAGTGCAATGTGGTGATATGAATCATGTTCAATTATTGTTTGATACATCAACAAAGAAAACATTACCCATGTACGGGGCAATGATGAAAGGTAAACATACTTTTTCTTGATTTTCTAATGTTTATTCGATTATTTGTAGGTTATATAAAGAATAATTTGCCGAAAAAAGTCATTGATCTTTTCAACGAAATAAAAGATCCTGATAGAGTCATCATCATTCTCTTATTCAACGCTTGTGCTCAATTGGGCACAAATGAAGAACTAAACTTGGTAAAAAGGATTTTATCTAATATCCCGGAAAGTTTGTTTTTGGAACCTACCCTATCATCATCTTTGATTCATGTATTTATGAAATGTGGTGATGTAACAAGTGCTAAATCATTATTTGATAGATCCACAAAGAAAACAATATCAATGTATGGAGCAATGATGAAAGGTAAAAGTTATTCATGTGTCTGAGAAATTTTCTATTTGACGCGTTTCTTCTTGTATATAGGTTTTATAATAAACAATTTATCTAAACAAGCAATTGATCTTTTCAATGAAATTAAGGATCCAAATGAAATTATAATCACTCTTTTTTTCAATGCTTGTGCTCAACTGGGAACGGAAAAAGAATTAGTTTTATTAAGATCAATTTCATCGAAGATTTCAAATTCTTTTTACTCGGATCCTTATGTTGCAACTTCTCTTATTGATGCATTTATGAAATGTGGTGATGTAACGAGTGCTAAAGCATTATTCGATAAGTCAACCATGAAAACAGCACCAATGTATGGAGCTATCATGACAGGTGAATATTACATATTTTGTTAGTAACTCTTTAATCCATTTTATGTTATTGGCTTGATATTAAATGATCAGGAGGAAGAAGCTATTGACATTTTTAATGCGATTCGTCTTGATGAACTCCATCGAGAAAATCATAGTGATAAAAAGATGAAGTTATTATCTGAAATGGAAAGTGATCGTTTAGAATCAAATATTACTATTTATTTATGTCTTATAAAAGCTTTGGCTAAGCTTGGCATGTTAGAAAAAGCTGAATCATTTGTTCAAAAAATTCCAACTTCTTTTCTTACTGATCATCGAATTCAAAATGCATTGATTCACATGTGGGTATGTTCAAATAGGCTTTCTTTTGTCGTTGTTTTTATTTTTCTGTACGAAAAATAAATGTAGGGGAAAGTTGGTTCTGTCGATGAAGCAAAACGAATATTTGAAAAAATATCGCAACCGGATCACATTGCATGGACAACGATGAGTCTGTTTTCGCTTCTTTTTCTTTACAAAAGAATGAAGTTGATTGTTTTCTTTTTATAGTTAATTCTTATGGTTTAAATGGAATGGGCATTGAAGCAATGAAGCTTTTTCATCAAATGCCTAAAGAATTTATCAATGATTTAACATATACTTGTGTTTTAAATTCATGTTCACATTCAGGACTTATTGATGAAGCTCGTTCAATCTTCAATAGTATTGAAGCGAAAACAGTCATAACAGTTACAACAATGGTATATTAAAAATTATCCAGTTTTTGTTTTTGACAAACTTATATAAGCTCCCTATGTTTATTTATTTAGATCGATTGTCTCAGTCGTGCAGCCGCTTTTGAAGAAGCACAACAATTGATTAAACAATTTGAACATAATCATGCACCTGCACTACCCATCTATAGTTTGTATTCATAATTAATAGAATCTTCTTGTGGGTGTGGGTGTGGTCATGGATGTCAATTAATAGAAGTACCACCACCACACTCACATCCTCTATATATACCACTAACTATATCGAATTCAATACAAAATAAATATTTTTCCTCATTAAATATTAACGGTGGTATTGATCTTGCTTCTTGATGACAATACTGTTGAGCAAGGTGAAGAGATTGAATTAAAGAGCAGACAACCATAAGTATCTAGTGGAATGAAACTTTGTTTCGATTCGGTTCAGTATAAAATTTGAAAATCTAAACTATGCCGATCTCTACATCGTATACTATGAAGCTTTGCGTAATCGATTTTGAAAAAATAAAATAGATCAAGTATTCAGAACTCTAAGAGCATACAGGCACGCAACTAGGTTTTTTGTTTGGGGGGGGGGGGGGCAAACGAATGGGTTTTGGAGGTTATTAAANCCCCCCCCCCCCCCCCCCCCCCCCCCCCCCCCCCCCCCCCCCCCCCCCCCCCCCCCCCCCCCCCCCCCCCCCCCCCCCCCCCCGAGCTTTGGTTTTGGAGCTTATGTAATGACATTCTTTGTCTGTGGTGAATAGTTTCGAATTTATTCTGGTTCATATCTTTTATTTGTCAACATATATTTACAAAATGAAAATCAAAAAAAAATAACGATTAACAACAAAGAGTCGGTATGAACGAAAAGTGTACACTAATTGATTTGCAAAGATGTTAGTTCAAAGATAAATATACATTCAAATAGTCGTTCTTTGATATTCATCAAAAAGGAAAAAAATACACTATCAACGATTTTTTTTGGAGGGGGGTCGTGCCCCCCCCCAATCCTCCTTTTGGGTGCATCACTGAGAACATAGGAGTTTTTGAAACGCAATTTCCTATTTGATATAGAATTTGACTGAAATTCCTATTGAATTGATTTTCTCAGAAATTCTTTTCTAATATTGCTGAACGAACTGTTGAATGAAAAAATCCATAGGAGATAGTTAACTCGTCACTCAAATTCGAAATAACAGATGAAAAATTTTTTTTTTATCAGAAAACGAATAAGATGGTATACGATTAAATGCAGTTAATAGAGGAAAAAACTTTTATTAAATAATATTAACCAATTTTCCAGAAAAACGAAAGTTGATCAAAATATTTCTACTAGATTTTCTTTGATTTATTTGAATAAACATAAATAAAAGTGTTTGATTATTATTTAATTATGATATATCTAGTTCTTAGAAAGAAAAAATGCAATAAAGCGTATTTGTTTAATAAAAAAAACAAGCAGTGGGGTGAATCTAGATAATGAAAAAGCAAATTCTATCAATTAAAATCGCGAAATTTCTATTGTAAACAAAAAGAACTAATTCGCTTTTTTCTTTATTCTAGTGGCATTATTATCAGGTGCTCGCAATGAGAAAAATAGTAAATTAGCACAGCAAGTTGTTGATCGTATGCAGAAGCTTTTTCCTGACTTGAAAAGCTCATTGTTACCAGCTTCGATTCTGTTGGCTAATGTTTATGCATCATCAGGTGACATTGAAAAAGCAACAGATATTAAAATTGAATTGCATAAATCAGGTGGTAAGAAACAAATTGGTATAACAATGACTGATATCGATGGAAAACTCTGGGTAAATTTGCAGAAGTATTTTAATCAAAATATTTGAAATTGCTTTCATGTATTTTCATAGAAATTTCGAGCGCATGATCAATCACATCCTTACTCTGCCGAAATCTATGAGCAAGTTGATCGAATGTCAAAAGAAGTTATTAAACATGGGCATAAGTACGATGCAAGTTGGATTGTAAGGCCGATGTACGCTGATGAAACAATTGAAACGCTTCTTTGTGGGCACAGTGAACGACTTGCTATGGTCGCTCATTTCATTCATCATCGAAAGCCCAAACGCATTCAACTGACGAAAAATCTTCGCATTTGTGGTGATTGTCGTAAGTCATGAATCAATCTAGCTGTTTTTTGATCAACTTTCTTCTTTTTCTTCATAGATCGAGTAACTAAATTAGTTGCTTTGATTTACCAATGTGAAATAGTTGTTCGTGACGCAAATCGAATACATCATTTTCATCTGAATGGACAATGCTCATGCCAAGACTATTTTTAAAAAACTTCTTTTTTTCTTTTCATTGTTTTTTTTTACTTTATGTTGTTCTTCATTGTTGTTGTTTTTCATTAAAATAAAAAAAACATTATTTTAGTCCTTCGACTGAAAGGAGGGTCATATGAAATAAAATGAGTTTGCTTGCTTACTTGATTGATTGCATGCACGTGCCATTTGTGAACGTGAGTGACGGTACATATTTACGCTAAAGAAGATTAAGATGTTCTTCTAGCCTTATGAGTAGGACATCTACCCGGATAGCAGAAGCTTTGGGAGCGATCTCCATGTAGAGGTATCAGCCGTCAGCCGATTTTCGCTGAAGTCAACGGCTGGCGGCCGGTGTTTTTGCTAGAGTCGACGTATTTTCCAGCTGACGGCTGACACCTCTATCTCCATGAAGGTCATCTTTTTCTTTGTTGTCATATAACATTAGGGTGGGTGTGGGTGTCGGTGTAAATGTCCCCGTTGTTTCTTACGCACACCCACACCCTCAGATCATTTGTGCCATAGAAATGGCCATTTGCGCCATTGCTACAGACAGACAGACAGGCACAGGCGAATTACGGTTTCTAGACCCTATCCTTTCAGTCTATGGAATATGTAGAGGGCTGCAGGTTGCAGGGTACAATCATAGTAACCTGTCAACCTGTGATTAATGCATTAAATATTGTCCATATCTTTCCAAAGGTATTAATAAGAAGAATTTTGATAACTACAGCGAATTGACAGTCAATTTCGATTAGTCTCAATCGTATTCCATAGAAATAGATGTAACGCTATTCTACTCTTTATGCTTATATCTACTCAATTTCACAAATAGTTTTCTAGTTTTGAGTTTTATACTAATATTTTCTTCATTATCATTATTAATCAACTATTCAAATGTTATCATGAATATCAGCTGGTTATTTTTCTTTTGATCTACTATCTATTTCATATTCAAAAAAATATACGACAAAAACCAGTGTTCAAATTCTGATATTCGTGATGATATCTGGATGGTGAGTAGGGATGGAGCTGTAACTTTACTTTAAATTTAATATTTTAGAACTGTTGTAAGCTTCAATGTTTATTTTGAATTATATTTCTAAATAACTTATTAGAAAAATCGCAATTCATGTAGACAAAGTGATTTTTTCTGAACGAATGATAGTTTTACAATAATATAATTTTATAATGAAATAGTTTTTTGGCAAAAAGTAACTTCGGTAAAAAAATCTCCTTTAATTTTAGGTTGAAAGTATTTTACTCACTTTAACTACTTCATCAAAATTAGTTTAAGAGCTAAGTACACCCCTAATGATGAGAAATTTACGAGATATATAATGTTGTTTTTGTGATTGCTTTATACTTCAAACAAAACGAATGGAATTTAATGATGAACTCATAAAGAATTTCGAGTTTCTCTTCAGTACCAAAAAATACAGGGCAGGGCAGGGCAGGGCAAGCCACAGGTTGCCAAAATCGCCTACCCTGCAGTTCTCTAATCATATGACATGTTATTATCTATCTCATATTTTATATGTATCAATCACATACAAATCATTTTTCAATGTCGCAATAACTTGTTAATGAACGAGTGACCTTTTTTTAGAAGTAATAAACACAAATAAAATAATAGAATTTCAATCATTTCAAAAACCAATCGTTTTCCACTACTTGACTTAAATTTTGTCCACGATTCACATTCTATTCTTTATTTTTCGTATGTATGAAATAGTTTATTTGGTTCAGAACTGAAATCTTTGCCTAAACATTTTATACACATTTTCAACAATAAAAACAAATGTCAACGAAATAAAAATCACTTCCATTGCAAATAGATATTATTAAGCTCACGATGAATTGTATAATTTGATAAAAGTTTTTCATTATCAATCATTGTGCTTAATCGTTTAATCATATTATCATCTGCTTTTGCAACATAAATACACAATAAACGCAGATCTTTATTAATTTTGTTCCAAATATCTCGTAGAAATAATTCAATAGTCGTACCATGAAGACATTGAAGATTAAGAAATTCCATATGAGGACAAATATAAAGAAGAAAATAAATTTCTTCAATTGTTTGCGTATTCTCTATATAAACTTTTTTAATTTTACTTGCATGTTCTATTGAACACGTTGTAGGAAATTCTTCTTTGAAAAATGATCGATAAAATGATAAAGAATTAATTTTTAATGTAATAAGATCTGGTAATAAATGTATAATTTACATTAATCTATCAACAGAAATTTTTCGTTGAATATCTAAATGATAAATTTGTACTCGATTTAAAATACTTTTAATATACATGAATAAGCAATCAGCAGGTTCACCATCAAAAACGTAGTTAATAGTTAATTGAGTAGATTCTAAATAATCAACAGTACAATTCTTATATTCATACCATCTTTTCCTGAAGAAAAAAACAAATAATCTATATGAATACAAAAGAATTTTCCAAAATGCACCTGTATGAAGAAACTAAATAAAGAATTTTATATTCATTGATCTCCATATTCATTATTAATTTTCGTTCAATCCAAAATGATGAATTAAATTGAGTTCGTTCTCCAGAATACTTTGAATGTCCATTTTCATAATATTTTAAAGAAAATTTTTTCAACTCAGATAAATATTGTAAAATTAATTTTTCCCATCGATAAGCATCAAGAAAAGTTATATCCTGACATGAGAAAGTGACATGTAAAGTTTTTAATTCCGAGTATATATTCTGAATAAATGTTTCAAATTCATCAAAATTAATGTGATTTGTATACATTGAAATGGATGTCAAATTTTCTAAATTAATTGGTGACATTGTTTCAATAGTTGAATCATCTTGATTTATATGTGAAAGATTAAGACGACGAAGTTTTGGTGTATAAGAAATTAAATCAGAAAGTTCATCGAATGCATAATAATGAGCAATTTCAAGATATTCAATAGTACTAAATTGTATTCCAGTAGCCAATGGAATTGAAATTGAACATTCATTTCCATATAAATGGAGTTTGTTATATTTTAATGTTGGTAATGCAAAAATTGATCGATAAATGTCATTTAGATTTCCCATGATATGCATTGTTCTGATATCCAATGAGAAAAGTCGTGGTAAACATTTTAAAGCAATAAGAAATGAAAGAATTGTATCTGACTGAATATCTTCAATAACAAGTGATTGAAGACGATTCAATGAAGAATCGATAATAAACGATGTTAATAATTGATCAATATGGGCTGGTATTTGAAAATTAATGGAATATATTTGATGTTTAATTTGTTGACAAATAAACATAAATCTTTCTGTCGAACTTATATAAATGAGTTCAATTTTATATCGAACAGGTGAAGATGTAAGAAGTTGCTGAAAACGATAATTAATATTTGAAAATGCTTCATATATGTCAATACCATCAAGATAATCGAATATTTCATGGAATAATTCATTCGATAAATTTTCAATAGAAGAAACTCTTAATTCATCCAACAACTCATCTATATGATAATAGAAAAAAGTGTATATTTTACTAGTGAAATAACTTTACTTCGTAATTTCTTTGTATTTTCTTCAGATAATTGATTAAAACTTAATTGTCGTTTCATATGGTCCATGTTTAAATGATATAAAGAAAAAAGAATTCGAATATATATAGTGATTTTGTTGTTCTTTCCTACATAAATAGAATATATATATTCGATGAATCATCGATTATTCATCTACTGTTTCGGAATGCACCGAACTTGTTATATTTGGTATAAGCGATTAAGAATTTTCAATAGGAAGGACACAAATGTTTTTGAGCGAATTAAACTTGTAAGATTCTATAAAACTCGTCTGCGTCGATAATCAACTATTTATATGATTATAGGTATGATAAGTCAAACATATGTCATTCAATTATTAATGAACGCATGATTCTAATTAGAAAACTTTCAAATACATAAATAAAACGCACTGAAATTGAAATGTAAAACACAGAATATCAAAAAACTTGTATACACATAATTATTAAGAGCGAACTTTTAATAAAACTCAAAATATTGAGAGTAAGTAATATATCAGAATATAGACATAGATTTACGAACTAAAATAGAAAAAGAAGTTTAGTTTTGCTTAGTGATGGTCATGGTCAGATAACGGTCACCCTTGCAAGTTGTGAGACACCTTAGTTATGACTCCCATTTTTCTCTCATCATAAATATAAAATAAATTTGTATAATTTTAGATCTTGGCACATTGTATTTTTCCCTTGAAAGATATTCACCAATTTCCATGTGCAATCATTGTGAGAATAAAACTTGATTGCTTGAACGATGGAACTACTCGCAAATTAGGGAAAAGATATATTTTTATCACGATAGTTAAAAAATTTCAAATTCTCAAAATTTCGACTTTGAAAGGGTGTGGGTGTGGGTGTGAGTATATAGGTGTAGGTGGGTGTCATTAAGTATGTCGTGGAGGCTCCGCAGATCAGCATCCGTCACACCCGAACACCCTGAAAGATAATTCATGTCGTTGCATATTATATGTAGTTAAGTGTTCGCAATCATCAAATGTTGTAAATGCGGAAGCTGTTGATTCTTCTTCCTTCGTTTATATTAATACCCATACCCTGTGCAATGACAGTCAAAGACAATTGAAATACTCCAACAACAACTATCATGGCAAAAGATTAAGGAAATTAATGTAAAAGAACTTTGGTAAATTTTTGATGTTATTTTCCTATGAAATTTTAATGCTCTGTTGTTTCTAACTAGCGATGCAGAAGTAAAATTAATACTAAGATTATTGAGAATCTCTATTCGGCAGGGTCTTTGATTTCACAAAATTATTGGTAGGATATCATCTATTTTTGTATTGACAAAAAACCACTTTCAAGCCTTCAGTCACCCTTGGTGACGTTAGTTGCTCTTTAAAATCAGACAATCGATGAAATAACACATTGTATAATATTCGCACCAGGAAGAAAGTTTATGAAGTCGATAATAGGAATTTTGCTGAAAATTATTATTCGTGGACGTTTTAGTACAACATTTCGAGACAAATAAACCAAGAACTCTCGCAAGTCTTTCACCCTGATGTAGTCGCCACTTCAAAGTTTTCTGCGATGGTAAACTGATCATGTGCTCGAATGAATATCAAAGATTATCCACACACTGTTTAAAAAAGAAACCTGCTGTTAGAATTTTGAAAATAGAACATTGCAATTAGTTTCTTATGATTTCGACTTCACAATTCTCATAACTAAACATATTTTACTGCCAAAACGCTAATATAACGCGCAAGATTTTCTAGGATAATAATAAATTACATAGAATCTTTTGGTATTTTTGACACACCATTTCCGTGAGAGACATTTTCATATTATTACACTTCTATATTAAGATGTAAAACTACTGTTAGTGTAAAGTCATATTGTTTTAGATGAATGTATTGTTTCTCAAAAAACAAAACAGGATTAAATAAAACATGAGCAGCTATATGATTCATTTAGATCTTTTTTTTATGCGTAAGTTTTACGATTTACTGCATCGTCTCCAAGATGTAAGACGTATCATTACATTTAAGTCAAATAAATTGATTCTCTTACGATTATAAATCAAAAATTAAATCTATTCTTTTCGATATCATACCAATATACATCTAGCACAATTACTCATATAGAATGACTTTTTTCTTTTCCTTCACTTCAAAATACTAAGAAAAAAATGAAAACCGTTTGTTAATATACATCTGTTAACAAAGATGTTTCTTTTTATTGTTCCCATTGAATTATCAGACTAAAATTCTGTTTAAAATTACTCATAGATTGCGATTAACCATTGAAATAAAAACACATGGAATCCTTTTTTATGCCATAAATTTCGATGATTCACTGAGAAAAACATCATCAAGAATAATATTAAGTAATTCATGTTCTATGAATAGAAAGCACTTTTATATTTTCGAGAATATTTTTAATCGTAAATTTATCGCAAGCATTTATGGATGAAGAATATACAATGAAGTTACTATCAAAATCAGGTTCAAATCATTCACAACGAAGTTCAACAAATTTGATAGATGAGTATGAAATGTCTGAAAATTCAAAATATCGTTAACAGACGAATAAAATGGAATATCCTCTGGTTGGTTTACCTGATAAACTCAAATTATGGTTGTGGGTGTGGGTATGAATATGAAGCAAGACAAGCCTCGCGCCCACACCCACACCCTGATGATAGTAAAATAGGTTTAAATGAAAATGAGGAGGAGGTACAAGAACGTTTAAAATTAAAAAGAAAACTACAACGAAATCGAACTTCATTTACACAAGAACAAATCGATGCTTTAGAACAAGGTATTTTGAAAATAACAAAAACAAATTTTATTATTTTAAATTTAATTTTAGCGTTCAATAGTTGGCACTATCCAGATGTATATGTACGTGAAAAATTGGCGACTAAGATTAGTCTACGGGAAGCTGGAATACAAGTAAAATTGAAATTTTTGTTTTTTTTGTTGATCGAAATGAAGAATTTAAGGTATGGTTTTCGAATCGTCGGGCAAAATATCGTCGCGAAGATAAAGTGAAAGACTGACGACAACATCAACAACAATTGATGAACGAGATGGGTGAAAATATGCGACCATCAGGTGCAACGCCACCGCCGTCATCAGTTTATCCTCAAATGTTTCCATTGAATAATCATTCGATCAATAACGATCCACATCATCATCATCATCATCATCATGCATATGGACCGTTTAGTTCAGGATTTAGCGCGCTGTTGCGTGTAGCTCAATCAGTTATCCAACATTTTTCCCAAGTAATTTTTCTTAGCCTAATTGAATTTTATACCCTAGAGGAATTTTATTTTTAGCTTCAACACGTGGTTATGATGGACTTAGTCCATTTAGCACACCTTATAATCGTTATTGTTCAACGTATCCAACAGGCATTCAAACTAGTCTATCTGCAGGTAGGTGAAAAAAAATTTATTTAACAGAAATTCTTTTATTTTTTCATTTTCAAAAGATCATATGAAAAATATGTCTTCAATCTCAACCTATGGTGGTGCTCCGCATATTTGGTATCCACAAATATTACCGTAGAAAAGAAAAGGTATGTGTTGTCGTGTCAAGAGAGATGCTTGTGAATTATTCTTTGATTGCCAGGTGATGATTTGTTAGATAAATAGAGTTCGGAGGAGGTGCGAATAATGGAAAACACTGTGATTTTATTTTTAGATTCGAATCGACGCGTTTCAACTTATGTGAACATTGATTTGTGTATTATATTGATTGTTTTTTTTTCTTGTTTTTCTGCATTGTCTTCTATTGTTCATCGTCGTCTCTCTCTTTCTCTTTTTTTAAATATTTTCAATGAAATACATATGTGAGCTGCGCCTTGATTATATAAATATGCATAAAGCAATAACGAATAGGCGTATTTTGCGGGGGTGGGTGTGGATATTCTCTTCAATGACACCGACACCCACACCCACACCCTCAAGATAGAATGGATGTGCGCTGGAAAAGTCTTTCAAGTCACAGTGTACTTTACCAATGTTGTTGTAGATCCATGCCAGGCAAAAATGATCAGGAATTGCCTCTTCGAAGATTTGAAGTGACTTTTGATAGAATAACAGTGCTTTGGAATAGTCATTCATTCTGGTATGCACACAACCTATGTTATTCTAGGTAGTAGCCAACAATGGATGATTGTGAGGGAGCAATTTTTCTTGAATCTCAAGTGCTTTTTGATAAAGCTGAAGTGCCTCATCGTTATTGCCGTAATTATGCTTGATATATCCGAGCTGGTTGTACAGAAAATAAAGATGTTCCTCATCGTTCTGAGAAACCGAATCGAGTAGGATTTGATATATCTTTTCAGCTTCATTTAATTTTTCTAGTTTGATCATTAATTGACCCAAGCGGTGCCATGCTGAAGGTCCGGAAGTCTCCTGTCTTATCCATTCTGTTATAACCTCGAGTTGTTTATCATTACCAGTCGTCAATATGAGTTGTACGTGCCATAGTCGATTCTCAATTTCGATCATTTCACCGATTTGAAAAATTGCATGCGTAGAAAGTAAAATTTCTTTTTCTTGATCAAAAAAGTAGCTCACATTAGTCAATAACGCAAATGGATTAGATGAGAAAGAAGTATCAATTTCTATTTTAAAGAGAATTCCTGTTGTGTTCGGTTCAAGATTCGAGCAAAAAACATTGGCTACTTCTGGATCGACACTGGTCGACATAAAGCTGTTCAACGATAAGAGGCCACCTTTACTGTTGCTGAGTTTCTGAAATTCACTATTAGATATCGTCTGACCTCGATACACAGTCAATGGAACTCGAGTATTCGATTGTTGTCTGTGTAGTTCCTGGATTTGCTGATGAACAGCAAGTAGAAAGAAACCCATCTTGATAATTACCTCTGTGTTCATGGTTCGCAGAGCTCGATTAATCATTGAATAGATGAAGCAGTCTCGAGTATACCACCAAATCGGTGTGTGTCGATGATAATCCTGTTCGAACTCATCGACTATTTTTTTTAATACAGACGCGTTGTCGTAGTATTGCTCACGCCAGAACTGCACCAACTCCTTCTCTGCATGCTCGTCGGATGCCATCTCAAGAAGAATTTCTTTCAGAATCTGGGAGTACATAAACAATGGCTCAACTTCATTTAAATTTGGTTTCGAAAGATCATCAACAGACACGATGCTGATTGGAATTGTATTGTGATCACATTGCTTCACATTATCTTTCAGTAAGCTACAGATTTGTTCAGCTTGAGTGAAAATTCCATTGACTTTTGTCCACTCTTTAGTCCATGTCTGCTGTTCGTCATTGTCATTACAAAACACGAAAATAGAATACAATGAGGTAACTCATGAATAAGTGGAACAAGCTGTTTTCCAAAAGAATTTTCCACGAAAAGAAAGACATTTTCGTCTGTGACATCAGTGAGGTAGTCAACGCAATCATCAGGAAGAGTAAATACTTTGATCCAACTCACGATGCTACGAAGTCGAGCGATGGAATCGGGAAATTTTACATTGACCTCATCAATATCGGGGTCTAACCAAATGATAATGAAATTTTGAACAATACGAGATTTTGAACGGCATCTTTCATTTGCTTGTATCTCTGGATTGATATATGATTTTTTATTTGCATTAGTACTATTGAAGTCGTTTAACATTTTTTCGATCTTTTGATTGACTTTTATTTGCTTTTCATTCACTGCTCGTTTGAAATTGTCGATAAAGAAATGACGCAATGCGAGAGGCTTTTACTAACAAGTGCGCCTCTTCACTTTCTTTTATCTAGACTAATAACGAATAGTATGCATTTTTCATTTCTTTTTCACCAGTACCCATACCAAATGGCGTGCAATATTGCTTTTTATTATCTTCAGGCGAAGAAGGTGGTATGATCACCTTGTGGTTAAATAGCAATTACTCCACCTGTAGTTGATTACATAGTGTTTTTTTTTTCTATATAGGCACAGCCTCATTTAACAGAAATTAAAAATTAATTATAATGATGCAGAGAAAAACAACACTAAATCAACCTGTTTAATTGTATAGAATGACGGGTCTCATATTATGACACTTACCTGTTTTCCAGTTAGACATTTGATTCTTTCAGTGTTCAACAATCTGGTTATATATCGCATCATTCTAAAGAAATTCTCAAGATCAGACCTGCGTTAATTGAATTGTGAGAAAAACAAAGTTTTCTGAGAAGACTAGCATTCAGAAATTTTCGAACTTTTCATTTTCTGACCGAACGATTTCGTCGAAAACTATTAAAATATATGTTGTTCAACATTAGAGTTCATGTTCGACATTTTGAAAAACAGAAGATTAATTTAATATAGAATCATACTTTTTAAAATCTGTTTTTTTAGCTTCAATAACTAATTAGATTTCAAAGATGAAAAATACAAATAAGGGTGTGCGAGTATTCGTTGATCACCCATGTAAAAAAATCAGATTTTAATCGATTATTTTTTTATTACTAATTGATTATAATGGCACTATTCTAATCATTGTTTTCATTAAAAATCTGATTAAAATCCGATTATAATAGTGCCATTATAATTGATTTTTAATAAAAATAATAATCGATTAACTCTCGAGAAATCTGTTGCCAATTCTCTTCTCTTAATTCGATTTCAATTGACTCAAATCAATCCTAATCTATTATTGATTGAAGAATCCACTTTAATTCATTACCACCCGTGATCTGACTACAATCGATTTTTACTATTGCTGCGGTTTTTAGCATATTCCTACTTGTTAATCGATTTTTATTGATTTTTATCCGTTAAATGATTTTAATCATTATTATCGAAGATCAGCGTTTTTTTCGATATTCGAACGCGAAACCTTCGATTTTTCGTTTTAAAAAACCGTGTAGTTACCACTAAGCCACATGATACTCAGATATAGTAGAGTTGGAACTCCTATATAAATTGCTTCAACTAGAGATTGTGCAATTACAGCAAGAATCAATTAAAATCCATTAAAATGAAAGTAATCGATTAAAATGAAAACCAAACCGATTATTCAACGAAATCATCATTCTATCCGTTATTATAGGAAAAAGACTACTAAAATATATCGTTCACGAAACGAATCGTTTTTTTGATGGTTGTGAACATGATTGTATTTGCTTCTTTGGTATATTACAAATAAATAATAGAATGCATGGGAAGAATATGCACTTGATCCCGGAATGAACTACTCAGTTATTTTGAAACCCGCTGATTTAGTAGTCACGGTCTCATTTTAACGTCTAACATACGCGCTATTTATCTTGAGAAAACGGTAAAAAATGAAGTTTATTTTGTTAAAAATAAGTATTTTTAATGACTTTGTCTTGCTGTCGATGTGAAAAAATTTAGAGGAATAATCAGTATCAAATCGATTATAACCCATTAGATTTCTAATGGATTTTTATAAATTTCGTTCGAAAATAATCAATTTTAATCATTTCGAGTAAAATCATCCATTATAATGTATTAAAATAAAATAATCGACTGTGATCGATTAGATTTCTAAGGGTGTGGGTCCAACTGTGGCGGAATTTTATCCACACCCACACATCCTCGCGCATTGTAAAAATCCTGAGAAATTCAATGGTAGTTATATCAAGACAACAGAACGACATGATATTCAAAAGTCATTAGCGAACTCGAATGCATCTGTAGCTGGATACTGTAATTATTTTCATCCTTGGAAAAAATTATCAATCCTTTTGCACCGCCAATACAAGAGTGAGTCCGTACCTGAGCACTAATATTCAATCAATTTACTTTATCTCAAATACAAAAATATGTTATCCGATCGAGGACATTTGATAAAATTTGTCAACATCGTCGAACCTTCATTTAAAAGATAAGTTTTGATCTGTTTTGTTATGAATGGGATCGAGCTGTTCACTTAAGATAAAACGTTTGAATTGAACTGAATACATAATGATTAGCAACAATTCACAAACATTGACATCACTGAATCAACGTTCTCGCATAGCAAGAGAATGAAATAGGTCACAGCGACACTACCCCTGATGCTGAATCGATCTAGAACATCAAAAGAGCAAAACAACCAATACAAATACATACATTAAAAATTCAGAAAGCAACATAATCAAAATACTTCTTGTTGCAGCAAATACTTACGAGATTAACTGAATATGAATCTGTTGCACATATTGAATCAAGTTCAATATACTTCAGAAATTCGATCCATTCAACCTAATATGATGATAATGTTCGCGATCTTCAAACATTGTAGAATGGAGTTGACAGATATGGATTCGCCACAGTCAAGTACGATTCGAATTTAATTATGAATGCTAACATATCTTTACCAATTCAAATGCAGTATAACCAACGGCGAATCGAAAACATCACTTCGGACGTGTGAGAAAGCAGACTTGTGTTAATTTTTTTTCCTTTTTTCTCTTTTAATTAAGCATGTTCTTTGCTATTTTCTTCTCGTTTTTTGTGATAATTCATATATTTTCAGCTATGCTATACTATCTTTTTTATACTTTCGATATAATTTATCTTTCGGGGGTGTGGTTATGGGTTTGGAGGTAGGTGTGTGGAGAGAAAGACACTGACACCCGTTCCCACGCCCACACACCCGCACCCTTCAATAGATACAGCGCGAACGATTATCCTTCTACCAGTGAGATCTTTATGTTATCATTAAATTGCGTCCTGCTCGCAAATTAAAAATACTAAAACGTAAAATATTAGTTGCAGTCAAACGTGAATCGGTTCTCGCTAAAATATCGCTTAGAAAAAAGGATATTTTCATTCAGCACTAATCTTGTAGAAACTTACACAATTTTTCTAGTAGTTTTTCAAGAAATCAGTGAGAACTTACTGTTCTAGAAACCAAGGAATTAGTTGAAATGGGTAGACAGAATATCATATATGGATTTTTCGTTGAGAAAAATAGTGTGACATGAGCAATAGAAACATTTCATAATCAAAATAATCTATTGTATTTTAGCCTGAAATCAAAATTTTGCGGAATGAACGAGTCAACTCAAACAATCGAGTCAATATAATCCGATCTTCGAACTCGAATTATGACATTGATCTATCCGATTCTGTTCTACCTATCCAATTTTATTTTCTAAACAAAATTAATTCTTATTTCAGATAATTGCTTTCTTGTCTATCTTTTTCTTTATTGCACTGTTGCTTATTTAATCAGACCATTGTTCAAGTCCGAACAACTTTCGTCCCAAAAAACTCAGATCTGTCTCGGGACTGATATTGACAGCTCGAAGCTTAGTCAATATTCCATTTCGTCGATTTTCGGCTCGTTTTTCAGTCATAGCAGGATGCTCAGCAGGAAACATTTTAAAGAATTGGGCGTAACGAGGACGCAGACTGTTATTCGCTCTTGACCCGTGCATTGTACGTTGATCCCATAGAATGGCTGAGCCAGCACGACTAGATATATGACAAGCAGCTGCATAAAGCTCTGGGACTACACTCTCCTTAAAGAGATTAAAGGTTGAACATAAGCCATACTGTGAAAGAAGATTTTCATGCTCAATCGTCCATTGTGGTAGATATTTATGAAAACCCGGAACAAGCCAAAAGCCACCATCTTCTTCGAGATTATCAGTGAGATTAACTAGACCTTGTACATGTCGTTCGCCGATTGCACTACAACCTGGTTCATTGTTTTCTGTGATCCAATCATTATCGCGCTTATAGCTTAATCTGCTGAGAACACTGATTTGATAGGAATTATCGGTATCTAGAATATTAAAAAAAAGATCATAAACTGTACACGAGAAAATAATGTCGACCTTGGAGATATATCCATGGATTCATATCTAAATGAAGATTCGTCATTGTTCCTCGTTCTGAATGCATCTGAGCCGGTCGAAATAATGCATAGCGATCGTGATTAGTCAAGAGCTTTCTTGTTCCGAGAACAGCTGCGAAAGCAGTATGCAAAGCGGGTGTTTGCCGATTAAGTATGATTTGACGAGTCCAGAGACTAGCATTACCAACGAGCCCTACTTGTTCATGACCTGTCCTACGCCACCGCCTCAATAAATGGAAAGAAGGATGAATAAGTAAAGGAAGATAACAATGAATAATATTTACTGAGCATCCCAGAGATTTTCATCGTTTCGAATAGATTGTTCGGCAAAAGACTCGACTACATTCCAAATATCCGAGATCGTTTCTGCACACTGCTCGGGTGTGAATACATTTGCAATGACTACGAAACCATATTGATCGAAAAATGCGCATGCATCATCAGCTTCCGGACAGTCGTAACTAGAAAGATTGAAACTCTTCACAAAACCTTCTGAATCCCTTGGAACAGTAGGTGGTTGAAACTTCTCAGTAGCGGTTGCCATGATAATGTAAGATATTGTATTTATGACAGTTCTACAAAAAAGAACAAACTGGTTTACTGAAATAATGATGATAACTGGGATGATATATAATAGGAAAGTATGACTCTTGCAGCACCAGTGCAAACTTTCACAATAAGACGTAGTATATGGGAATATTATGAAGGACAGAAAAACAAAAACAAAGCACTCATGATGACGTATTGAAGTGGAGAAAAACGCATTACTTGAGTTGTTTCTAGAGTACGTAAGAAAGAATTATTATACAAAAATATATCAGTCAGCATCGTTGTTTGCATTGTGACTAATGGGGAAATGGAAATGATTTATTTATGAATTTTTGAAGGATGATTGAGCTTCCCTTGTTATGCATTCACTGTTTAATTTGTGAAAAGCTTAACCAACAGATGTGACGAAGTCTTAAATTCAGATACATGAACTTCACCGATTCTGTCGATGGAAAATTTGCATGATTCAAAAAATAGTCAGAGACATGTAAAGAAATACTATTGATTGAAGAGTCCACCTATCATAAAACTCAAACATAAAAGTAAATATTGTAGAGAAGAACGATATAAACATGGCTGCCCTTGGTTATGACATAACAAACGAAATTGTCAGATCAAAAACTGAAACAGATTTTTTTCTGTCGAAGGGTGGGTGTGGGCGTGGATGGGTGGCCCGAAAGCTGGTTTCTATCAACACCCACACCCACCCTTTTATTTGTGGGTTTAAATAAAATTAAAGCATAAATGAAATACTAACTTGCTCCTCTAGTTAAACATGTATTTAGGATTTTTATTCGAGTAAAAGTCATCTCATTCGGCTCTTTATCATTTCAGCATAATTGCTCGCCATTTTATTTTCTGTTTAGTCATGATTCAAAGTGAAAATGTCGACTTGAGAAAAATTTAAAGCGTCATAACAATTGTTGTTAATGGAAATGATGAACACCTTACTGATTAGAGAAAAATGTTTCTTTCAGTTTTTGTCTCGATAAAGATTTCAGTCTTAGTAAGCATGTTCATCTTCTTCTTCTTCTAGAACATGTGCACAACAGCCCTTTTCTCTTCAATTTCCTATCGACAAATAATATCTATAATTGATAAGAATAGAAGACATGCAACAAAAGAAGTAAAATATTTTTTCGATATGGTTGTTGATTTCATTTGCACAGCGATTACTAAAGCTTTTCAAAGGATTTTAGAAATGGATTACTTCAAACAGCATTATAGATTTCCAGACATTTGTTTATGAATATATAATTATCAGATATAAATGCCGATGAATAATTCTACATATTACTGAATTAAAGCGAAGCAAAAGAAGGTTATTGAGAAAGAAGGCTACGGATGAGCTGAAACGTGTGAGATATTATGGGGACACCCCTCCTTCTAACAATAATAAAAAACGATAAGGCAATATCAACCATAAAACAGCATACTTGTCTGTGCTTTATTACCTTTCTATTGTTATTTGCAATTAAAATATAAGTGGGTAAAACAAGAAAAAGAACTCAGCTAAATACAGCACAATAAGTTTATGAAAACATATCCCGTTGGCCAGATGTACGAAAATGGGATGAATCGGTGATTATTGAACAATTTAAACTTTTAAAAGATCAATCGACAAAAAAATCGGCTCTTGAGTTATGCAGAAATGCTCATGGTTGTGGTTTTTTCCACGAATTATATGAAACTGGGCATTTTTTATTACGAAGGGGCTTTTCAAGCTCATTTGACTCTACTGCGAGCTATCGCAGCATTGGTCCCTCGTTCAAGTTTTCTGCATATATTTCCAAAATATTGTCCTGGATGTGCTGTGTTGGAAATTTTATCTATTTTATGTATACATCCGATATTAGAAAATGATGTGAATGCTTTGCTTGGGGAATTGTTATTGGATACACATGGTGATATTTTAAATCGTAATGATATTCGTCAAATTGCCATAATGATACGGCAAGCATACAAAGGTTATCAAGGTACATATATGGGTTGTTGTACAGCTTATGACTGGAAAAGTCAAGGATACAAAACAGCATATACGATTGGAGTATTATTTTCATCCGATCAATTCTGCGAATTAAGGGCGTGGGTGTGGGTGTGGGTGAGTGTGAGCATCGACATGCATGAAGAATAAACCCACACCCGCACCCTGTCTGTATTCGTCACATGCCCACGATCCCACTAAGCGTTTTTCGATTTAAAATTAGGCTCAGAGGCTGAGAATAAGTGTTTAATTTGAATTGCGGCTCATGTGTTCCATACAAGAAGAACAAGAAGAATTTATCATGGGAACTAGAGGGTGAGGGTGTGGGTGTGGGTGAGGGTGTGGGTGTGGGTGTGGGTGTGGGTGTACATGATGAGTAGACTCGCACCAGCAGCCGCACCCATCCACACCTATACCCTAGCTGAATGCTCGTTTGTCGATTATTCAGCATAGTGGCTGTTGAGCAAGCATAATGCCAAATCGTCAATTGAGTCTTTCGAAAGCATTGAGAAGATCATGCGGAGCGAGATATTCGAAAATATGGTGAAAATTTTCGACTGGTAAATCTTGAAAATGATATTGACGTTCATTCATGATCAACTTTCTAGCGCACCGATTTATATCAATAGACTGATGATATATTAATTTTGACCGTGAATTGCTGGTTGACATGATTCACAATAGTTATCTAAATAGAGAAACAAAGCTGCCGTTCAAGATAGTCGAATCAATGATTCTTGTCCGACAATTACCAATAAATATTCATTGTGGAAAATAAGATTCAGTCGACGTTCTTTTTGCTAGATTTTAACATAGATAAATGAATATTATATCTCTTTATATTTTTTTTTTCATTGGTTGAATGATAAAAAAATAAGTGAGTGACATTTTCAGCTCGACTAATTCTATCAAAACAAGCGAAAAGGATTTGCTGATGAAATTTCGAGAATCTTGCTGATTTCAAAAGATCTGAGCGCTATTAGTTTAAATCAACTCGTGATTTGTTGCAGATCCAGTTCGTTGACATACCTCAATGGTCGATATTGGACGTAGTTCACTTGTGAGACAGAGTAGGGAAACTTCGCTCGTATTCAAGATTAAACTGAATATGATCTTTCTTTTAAATTAAAACCTAATCATATAAGTAAGCTTGATATATCGTTACCATTCTGTTTATGTGTGAGTGTGCGGGAGTGGATCAATCGAGTATCCACATTTATACATCCACACCCTTCTTACTAGATTTATTTAAGCAATGCTATTCACTAAAGCAAAACAAATTACTGATACAATCACTTATTGATCGATGTAAGAAATATTTTTTATGGCAAAGGATCTTCGTTTAAATTCTACTTCGAAAAAGATGATATCAAGTAAAATATCGTTGATAATTTGGTGCATCTGTCTCGCCTACAGTATCTTCTTAGCATTAAAACAACGGATGTTTAGTCTATGCGATAATATTGATTCAGTGTCGCAATTGAAAAATACGAAATTTCTATCTTTTCTTTTCGAAAATCTTGTGAGATAAATAAGTCAATGCTGTTAGTTGATAGTCAATATCAACCATTGCACGGAACTTTAACTTCATTCTTAGTTACACGGTCTTATGTGTTTTAGTTCTTCTTTCATATTTCACTTTGTGAATGAGTAAAAATGAATTCATTCGTGTGATTTAGCGATTGATTTGTTTATTTCAATGGCAGAAACCTCCCTGATTAATTATTGAAAATATTTTTACAAGCTGTTGTTCAATAATCAAATTTTTCCGAAATGCAAAAGTATTTGTTTGCGTTTTTTGAGCAATGATTCAGCAATTCGATGTACTGCTACTCCCAACGAGATTTTATTTAACAATCGAAATTCGCGCATCAGTGATCAAATGAATGAAAAAAGTCAACTTACGACTTCGAATTCATGGCATTCATTTAGCTCTTTGCTCAATCTAATAATTCTACAATTGATGCCAACCAATGACGAAGACAAATCTTATAACTCCAGACAATGCAGTGCATTGGTTCTTGGAAAAAATGGATATATGAAGGTTTTTTCTAGGACTCGATTTCTAAGTCATATTCGCCAAGAAGCCTATTATTCTATCGTCATCATTTGACGTTATGATAAATATTATGGTCATGCATAGCATGAGTCACATCACCATGACGCATGAATGTGAATAAGTTACATATCAAACATATTGATCAACCTTGTATTGAAGGTGGCTCTTTGAATTTCTTTCTAGATTAGTGAAAAGTGTTTGACAATGCAACAACATAATCATCGTTCATAATTATCTTCTGTTTGATAACCATATAGTTACTCCACAGTCATTGCATGAAACAAAGTCTCATTAAACTAGGTAAGGTTTACATAAGAAATGTATAAACTGAGCTTATTTGTCTACTTTAAGTTTTAATCCTGATCGCAACAACGCAGATAATTTTGGCACGTCCCATTGACAACGACACATTGTCTACAAGTTTTACTTCGTCAGTTGAATCAATAAACGATACAGTCACCATAGATTCTACTTTGACGTCTCAATCAGTTAACGACCCTTCTCAGAAAGAATGAATCGAGAAAATCAGCTGCATCTACTTAAATTTTTCTTGAAATTTCTTAATATTTCTAAAGA